GACGCCTCGGCACTACAATCTCCCAAAACAAAGATATCTCGAAGGTCCAGGACCATTGTCAAATCCTATCTCAGGTTGACGACACTAGGTTACTTCCTTGATACAACTATCAATATCGGAAGTAAAAAGGGAACCTTTGGTTTGGCTTAGAAACATCCGAGTCGCTACTTTAGAGCGGTAGAGCAGCGACGCCACTAAGTCAATTAACACTGCGGAGTCAACGGATTTAGATTTCGATACATGGTGCGATGATGATGTATCTTTATGATTGACAGTTTGCTTGACTGAGTTGAGTGACAAGATGATCGGAGCTATAGTACATGGTTGCGAGCCAGTATCTGCGAAATTAGACGCTTAGTCTAGTTCATCAGATAAAAGGGGGATCAAAGTCGAGGCTGTTATTGGCTTTTATTGGTGTGCCACTCAGGCATCAGAATTCATAGAGAGGAAGGACAAGCATACACAGTGCTAGCGGAGATCCACTCATCCAATGAAATAGCGAAGATAAGAACCGAATCGACTCCCATTCAGTACAAATCAAAGAGATCACACAGCAGTTATTTGTGTTCAAGTTTTAAGTATGGACGGATACTTTTAAAAAATTTATCAATAGGAATTCCGGCGATGATATCAAAATTTAAATTTTTCTGATACAGGATAAAAACAGTTGCTGTGTGCTTGCATAGCAAAGACCAACAGAAACCAGTTGATGATAGCTACTTTGCCTCGATGAGGAAGCACGAGGCAAAAGATACACAACTTTATTGAACATCTGCAACACGAAATCATATGGGTGCTCCATGATGTAAAATAGAAATTGGGTTAGAGAATGATAGTGGGGCCTAATAAAATATTGAGGTAGCGCCCTTATAGGGCTAAGAGTGTTTAGGTGCATGATAGACCCCACTAATGCCTCACTTGAAGATTTTCAGAACCACACCTAAATAGACCATGACCGCATTTGCAAAGAGAAATATGGAAATTGCATTGAGCTTAGAAATGACAAGATTTGCGATAGGCCCACTTTCACTATCCAAAATTTATAACTCAACTTTTCCTCCCCAAGTGCTATTAGCTCCATTTCCAAATTTCATTAACCCCATTTCTATTTTTCCGAGTGGGGACTCTAGATTTCTCTTTTCAAATACAGTCTATTATATATGATTTGTTTCTTACTAAATACATTGATATTCCATGTTGCAGAACATATACTTATACACACATAGAGTGTCAAGTATATATTGTCAGTCTGGTACATGAGACTAGACACAGTCTATTACTATGAATCTGAGTCCAGACTTAGATTTGAAGATTTTCTCTTTATGGGAATGTTTTTTAAAATTGCCTTTATATACTTGTCTGGCCACCATTCCAGGTGGCTCTGAGTTTTTCCAGTATCTAGGAACTTAATATATTCTTCTATCTATTTCAAACCAGTGTGTGTCTCTCTACTCTTTGTAATGCTGAGTATATTGATTTCCTGTCCCTCATTGTTATTGGTAGAGCAAGTCATAAGTTTTTCCTGCACCCAGATCACTACAAAAATTTCTACTACACCCAATCATACAGCCTAGAAGACATCAACAATTAAGGATTCCAACAGAAAGAGTGTCTATTAGATCCACTCCCAGTATATTCTCAGACTAACCTGTACTTTCTTTATCATTGCCATCTCACTCATTGGGAAGTTGGATAAAAGGGTCTATCAACATTTAATTATGTGCTCTATTTTTATGAACTTTTCTGCCTCTGGACTTCATTGATACCGCCTGATAAGTTCAAATGAATTTCTGTAGCCAACAGATCTTGAGTCCATCTCAAGAGGTACTGTGTAGGATTGTGCCTCAATTGATGTCTGAGACAGAGACATACCATCTTTAGAATTCTCTGAGACTGTGATCAAGATGATAAGAATAGGGTATATAGCCTAATTCAAATGAGTATCATGTTATCAGAACAATGAATTTATTGCAGAACTTACTGATAGTAATGGCATAGCTATGGCATAAATCTGGAATGCTATGCTGTTTTGCCCTTCCAACAAAGTGATGATTGTGTAGATAATCTAAGCAGGTAAATGAGGATAATAATGGCAACATTGTTAGAAAGCACTAACCCAGAGTATGCAGTAAATAAAACCAGACTCTATTAAAAGGAGTAAAAATTTCTGAATTTTGATTGATGAGGTGGTATTTCTGAATAAGAATCTGGCTCTGATAGTCCAGAAATAAGTCCTTGCAAAGAATCTAGTCAGAGTAATTCAGAACAAGACAGAAAATAGCTACCATGCTTTGTATCCAATTAAAAAAGTTGCAGTAACATTGGTGATAAGAAGGGGAAGAGTCATCATTAATATTTCTATTTTCCCTCCATCGAAATTGGGATCTTGAAGTATTTTTCTGGATAACAGACCGGCATTCAAGAAAGTCCCAGCTAGAAACAAAAAAAGATTAATTCAGGGCAATATGAATCACACATGAAAATCACTCACTACATGATCCAATCATGCAACAAATTAAAATGATTTTGACAGTTGTATGTTGTGGAAATAGCATCCAAGCTCTCCACACCACAATTGCATCACTAATAATAAACTTCACAAATGGCAGAGTTACTTGAAAGATACGGAAACACGATTCATCCTTGGTACCGATACTTACATGTATTCTTTCCAATAAATTAATTGCGATGTCGACCTTCACCAGTAGTGAAGTAAGATCAGGATTAGCATTGAAGCTAAAAGAAGAGATATCCAGAAAAATAAATTGAGTGTTGAGGATCATTGATGCTGTTGCAGTTAAAAGCGTGATCAGTGTGATCAGAAAAAGTCCTATTCGGACCTTTAGCTGAAAAACACGCTTTGTACTTTGAATCCAGAGTCAGTCAAATAGTTGTATCTACTTCAAAAGAGACCTACAAGAAAGAATAGAATGCGAACAGGGAAAGCGTCACGTATATTCCATAGAGCCAGCAACCTACTGCGGTCAAAGCGATCCAGCCCTTGACGATAAGAAGATCAAAATCGGAGAGTGGTTGGGATTGCTGTGCTCGTAATGACAGTTCCGGCATAAGAATGGAAAGAAAAATTGGAAGGTATTGTCTGAAATGGCTTATAAGTACTGAAGTAATGTACTTGGGACTAGAAATTCATATTCACACGGAGAGCCGGTATATCGACGATGAGGTCGTAAGGCCTAGGAAGCGTTTTACTTTCTATATCAGAAGGTGCGAGCAACCGGTACAATAGCATTCAGTACCCAATAAGTCTAAATGCTTTTCTCGTGTTGGAACGGAAATTATGTATTCTCGAAGTGTATCATGATAAATCGTCGTCATGAGCCGTGTCGGATGGTTTACCGCATCCTTCTCATCTCACGCCCGATCCCCGCTATCTATAGGAACCTATGGGCGTTAGTACTTTCACAATGTTTCCTCAGTTCCTGTATTGAACGATCACATAAAAATAGATCTAAGGAACCGTAGTTTTCTTCCTCCCTTGATCATCAATTTTGGGGGTTGTTCGTGATAACGCTCAGACAAGAAAACTTCCATCGAATTTACGATACGATCAGTACGCGGGAGATGGAGACCCTGGGACTTAATTCTCACAGCCCCCGACGGTCGACTGCGTACATACTTGATGATCAGTTCTGTACATTATGTTCTCAGTCAAAATCATGAGAAATACACAGTAAAAAGGTCAAAACATTGGACGTTCAGGGGATTGAACCCTGGACCTTATACATAGGATGCGAATGTGCAAAGCATACGCGCTACCACTGCGCTAAACGCCCATACCATGGAGCTGCTTATCAAAAATAAGTGCCGTCTGCCGGCCGTAACCTAATAGTACATGTTCAGTTCTGATCCGACGGGTCCACGACACTAAATCCGAAAAAAAGAGACCGATCTGAAATGCCTTTCCTTTAATCCTTATCATGATCCCTGCACCTACCCACCTTCCTAAGTACTACCTGCAACGAGAGCAAATTACAGGTTCTTGTTATGTCGGCGCTATAGCCAAGTCCCCGACTCTCTCCGAGAGGAGGGCCTTGTCCCCCCTAGCAACAAACCATTCCCACGACCCCGAAAATTGGCTGACACATGCTAGTTTTCTCTCACGCCTCTTTCCAGCTGCCCAGTAGCCCCAAAACGCTCCCACGGCCTCGAAAATTGGCTGACAAATGCTAGTTTTCTCTCACGCCTCTTTCCAGCCCCTGAGTGCATAAGTATGACCAGATCTAGTCAGCGAGCGCACTCAGATTTTGGGGGGACGACACATGGCAATGGACTAGAATATGGTTTTATCGGATTCACCAGTTTTTTTTCCTCACGACGTTCCCAGGGAAATTGGAAGCAATAGCTGCAATGACACGACAACAGCATCAGCGCTAACTCCTACAGCAATGGTACCAAACCTCATCCCCAATCAAGGCGATTCACCATTTTGGAGTTGTGTAGAGTGTAAGGGGCCTCTTCAACTCAAGGAGATGGTACCGGTCCTACCGGACTCTTTCACAGTAAAAGGGAGATGCAGGCATCGAGCACTCCTCCGACATCAACAGCACGAGAAGTGAAATATTCGTTATAGCCGGTAAAGCATCAAATGTCAAGAGTGAAGCAGCCTCTACTTTCTTGTTTGGTCTCTTTGTGATCTGATCCTGACAATGACGAGATTGTATTTTACAGTCTGCAACCGAGAAAAAAAAAGAACAGTGGTTTTTTGCTCAACCATATGTTGTGCTCATACATATTTCTATAGGTATATGGACTTTTCATATTCATACTCTTAACCGAAGTCTTGCCTACTTATATTCAATCCCTTCGAATTCTTTTATTCTGAGGGGCGCGTTATATACTGTGATATGTACCATTTGATACTTCTATGCTATTTTCCATACTGAAAATTGAGTTGTCCATACTAAGCAAATACTGTACCATACTATGTCAAGAACTTTGGTTTCGAGACCGAGAGTCGGGGATTGCGAACGCGCACGCGGAGCGTTACTGGATGGTTACGGCGACAGATTAGAATCAGCACAGAGACGAAATTGAATCTGTTCCTCTTTGAGGGCGCAGGTTCGAATCCTGCTGGCGTCGTACGTTGCTGGTCCAATTACTTTTTTGAGGCGTCGAGCTGAGTCTGACTTCAAAGAACGAGCGTCTAGATAACGATCAAGTGCTAATCTCCGCAGACTTGCACAAGTTCTACAGAGTGCATTAGTACTTACTGTTAGAGAATACGAATTATATTTGTACAATTAATCTAGGGTATATTACAGAAAGCAAAGCAATTGGAGTCCAAAGCAAAAGTACCAAACAAATCGATGCATACTTACATTGAAATATAAAAAGCATGAAGATAGATAACGTCGCTGATAACACACCCACACTGCACAGAAAGAACCAAATACCGTTTTCACCACCATTTCTCATCTTTATTTTTTCATCGTAATCCCTCTCAACCTCTCTCTCCAAGCCTCCCTCTCTCTATCACCTTCCCCTTCGTCCTCTTCGTTATTCTGTCCTACCCCCCCTTCGCCTTTTCGATGTACAGCGTACTCTCCTCCCATTTCTTTCCCTTCCTCTTCTCTTTTCCCTCGATCCAGGAAAACTTGTCTCACACGAGCCCCCTCCCAGACTTCCTTCTCCGCTTGTTCCAGTATCTTCTGTACGCCCGGGAATCGAGGGTGGAACGTGAGGGGTGCTGGGAGAGGACGACTATATACAGAGAGGGCAAAGAATTGCGGCGAGAGGAAGAAAAAAGTTGGTTAATACAGAGGAAACGAAAAAGTTAAGAAAAAATAAAATAAAATAAAACCAAAGATAAAACAATGATAAAAACAACTCACACAACGACCCCATCTCTCACTTCATCGTCCTTACCCAGTTTCGGTTCCACGTACTTCTTGGAACTTTCTTCTTCCTCTTCCTCGTCAGTGCTCGGGTTGTCGACGTTGACGGGATTAAGAAGCTGCGGTCTAACTTTCCAACCCCAAAGGATCATGACCATGCTCATGAGCACGGAGAGGTTTGCTACGTGTTTGCCTACACAGATCCTGTTATATGCGAGTGAGAATAGGAATGTCGTTTTTTTTTCGTTAGCGCTCTTTGTCTTTTCCAAACGAACAGAATAGATAGATAGACAAATAAGGGAGAAAGCCGGTTTAGAGTGTAAGGGGACAGACGTGCATAGACATGAAAAGAAGAAACACAGTGAGGTAAAGGAGAAATAGACCTCTAGGTCCCCGTGTTTCATCCAAACCATCAAAAGTCGAAGGTCAAGAAACTCACCTCCGCCCAAACCCAAAATTGACATGTCCCTCCTCTCTAACCTCTCTCAACCAGGGTTCAGATTGTCCTCTTTCTTCATTAGTATTACCCTCCCCTTTACGTATCCGATCTATCTGGTCCCGATCCAGATTGGAATCGGAACTTCGGTAGAGAAACCTCTCTGGTTTGAACTCATCTGCGTCTGGACCGTACACGTCTACGTCACGGTTCATAGACCAGACGTTTGGGAGGAGGATTGTTCCCTGTGAATGGGCGGTTGAGTGAGTTGGTTTTGACAAAGGAGGCAGGATAAGAGGAGAAAAGCGGGATATATATGCGTATGAGATTTGAGATACATAACGCAAGTGGAGAGACGAGGTCGGAACAAAGCAAACGGAAATGACACACCTTTTGAATTTCCCATTCTCCAAACACGTCATTCTCTACGCTGACATGGGGTAGTCCTAGAGGATCCACAGGTCTCCATCTCAATGCTTCACGAATAACGGCCTGGCAATAAGGGAGATGGGGCAGGTCGGAAGGTCTAGGTAGACGAGGTGTATCCGTTGAGATGTCAGCATTCGAGCTGGCAGTCTGAGCGAGATGTGCGTGGATTTCGGCGGCAGCTGTTAGTATAACGTACATAGATGAGGATTAGTACGATAGGTTTCCAGGCACACAAAAATTAAAGCAAAAACGTACCTTTCTCCTGAACCCTCCTAAACCTCGCCAAAATCACTATCAACCACGCTAACGTATTCGCCGTCGTATCTGCTCCAGCAACAAACATACTGGCAGCCAACCAACTCGCCTCGTGTCTCGTTAACCTGTACTTCTCATCTTCCTCCACCAATGTCCTAGCGAAACTCTTTTTATCCTCTATACCTCTCTTCACTCTCTCCTCTACTCTCGCGTAAATCGACTCAAACGCGCCGTTGTATCTCGTGTAAGCATCTTCGGCGTCTCTCTTCCATTTGATGAGGAAGGAAAGGGGGGAAGGGAGGGAAGATGGGAGGTAGTTGAGGATAGGGAAAAACTCGACGAGGTGTGCGCCTGGGTAGGTTGCTCGTGTGATATATGAGGTCAAAGAGCAGACGGAGCGAATGAGAGGGTCGGTGGTAGAGTGAATGGGTGGAATATCATAGGCGATAGCAGTAAAGAGTGAAGAAGTGTAACGTTCGAGGTGGGATATCCAGGTTGGTGGTGCCAGAGTCGTCGTGACTTCCTCCCTTGAGTTCTCTCCGTTCTCAGCGGGAGTGGATGATTCGAAGCGCAACCCGGAGGCAAGTAAGACCGCGTCTCTCCAAACAATCTCGCCATACATCTCTCCGACCACTTCCTTTTTCAAACTCTCATGCGCTGCCCTCCTCATTTTCCTCCATCTCTCGCCCCATCTCGCAATCCCTAACAATCTGTTTTTGGTGAGCGTCTCGGTCGCAACGATCAATCTAGGTCGGTCAGAATAGATTGCTGAGCGTTTGTCTAACAACTCATACGCGACTTTATGAGTGTTGAGGATGATGACGGGTTGGGGTCCTAAAGACAGATGGATGATATCGCCGTATTTCTGCCTCCATGAAGCGAATAGAAGCCAAGAAGAAGTATTCAATTGGTGAAGGTTGCCGATAATAGGAAGACCTGGTGGACCCGGAGGCGCGTTTCTGGTTTTGTAGAGGTGAACGAGGTGGAATAAAAGAATGAAGCCAAGGACGAGGATGAGCAGCACCAGAACGCTCATCGCGGTAGAGTGGAAAGAGTGAAGGAAAGGAAGAGTTCCAAAGAGACCGAGGACCCTGGAATGCGGATTTTGTTAAGATAAACATTCGAGCTGTCAGTTAGGATTCTATATGTTTTCATACTGAATAAGTATAGATGCATCAGAATATTCAGTACAAGTTTTGTTTGAGACAGGGGAAAGCACGAACGAGAATGTTCATTGTGGAATGAAGGAACTAATAGAAGGGTCGAAAATACGGTAAACCCGCGTCACGTTGACCCTGCCAGACCAGACAGTTAGAATTCTTCCTCGGGCTCAAGTCTTTCTGCAGTGCGCACCTGACATCGCACGGGAAAGAAATTTATTCTGTTCTTTGTATTCTGTCAAGCATCGCGTTAGGCTTGTCAATTACACGCAGGCTCATAACATACACAGAACCACATACCGGCCACGTCAGGAAAGCGGGGAGAAATTTTGAAGCGGTTGCGATGAGTATCAATAAATAAGTATACGGGGTAAAGCTCAGAGTAAGTATGGGGGTGGCGACGTTGAACTCATCGGAGCGTTATATGCATGTACGGCGTTTTGAAGTAGACCGTATCTGCCAAGGAGCAGGAGGTGATTGAAATTTTTGAATTCGAGTGTCCCGTTCGCCGTTCGGTCTCAAGGGCGTACGTGTGTACGGTACTTATCATGTTATTGGCGTATTAGTATAGGGTTGGCCATGGAAATGTCAATTCCAGCTTTCAGATTGCGCAGTTATACAATCTGAACTTCTGCCTTCCTTCAACATGTAAAGATGTCTTCTGTTCAAATATAGGGAAGCTGATGCTCTTTGCCGGTCAACTTCGACGGGATCTTGAACGAACGGAAGAAGCTGTTTAGATGTGTCTGCATCAGTTGCCGTGAAATCAGCTGAGCTGCCAGTGTGCACGAAATTCCTCAGGCTTCATTGGGTTGAGCAAATTTCAGCTCAGCAATCGTGCATCCACATATAGAAACAACAAATACAGGATCACCACATTGATAGAGAGACAGTATTCCTTGCAACATGGGTTGTGTTATACTCCGCTGAAAAATATTGCCAACCACGGCAAGCACAGGAGCCCCAATCCAACCCAAAACAGAAGCTTCTCTAGGCGCTTCAATGAATGGTGATAAATTAAGCAGTTTCATTTTAAAAATAAAAGGACTGTGGAAGACAATCATGATCTTCGAGCAGTAACAATGTGAAGTCAGGGATTCGATACAAGGGAGGTCTCCTCTTACAAGCTGATGTCAATTAGCAGTGAGTCTGAACTGAGGCATGAGAGCAAGAGAGAGTAAGCTTGATCATGGTAAAACTCCTCTCAAAGAGACTCAAACCGCGAGTACGCCGTCGAGTAGTCAGCAAATCCATACAACGGATCTTCCCAGTTTTCCTCGTCGAGCGCAAATTTGACCATGTAGCTCCAGAGAGAGTGCTTCATCCGGAGTCAGGTGTACCATTTGGTAGTTAAACTTATAGCTCGCGATCGACGTTGTTGATTGAGCAACAGGGGCGCGTGACCAAATTACTCCTGACAACAAAAGTCACGCGCTCTCACCTTTGTTATGATCATGATGCCCACTTCGACCATGGCCAAGTTATCTCTTGAGGACTCGCACAATACGGAAAGCTCCCAGAGTGAAGACGATCTATCGAAGGTAAATTTTTGGTACTTGTTCTGGTTCTATTCACTGATTCTGTCTGCAGACTCTACATATGAGATATATAAAGGCACACGAACCATGGACTCCATACGATTTCCCAAAGCAATACATGGCCCATGTCAAATACGAATATTATCCTCCTACCTTCGTTCTTGGAGCCGGTGTCACTGCAGCCGAATTCATGCGTTATGCGTCCGAATACTTCAAAAGGCATGACTTGTTTCCTCAAGCATTTGACCGCCTCGATTGGCCTTCTATCATCGCAAAGCACCTCGGATCTGTATGCGAACACGTTACTACATATGGTGGTCAATCTTCGCCGATACTCTTGCGTCAAGTCCCGACAAAGAGCGATACATCATATGTTCTTCCCATCTGCACGAATTACAACTTCCCAAGGCGATTTCCGACGGAGGAA